TAAGAAACGTTTGTGGAAAAAAGACGACACCATCTTCGAATAAGAGATTTATTTCCTCGTGACTTCTTGTTTCGTTCAGGCATCCCGCTGTCGAAGACAAGTAACTCTCATCAAGCGCAATGGGCATGAAGATCAACTTCAAAGCTGTTGGACTTTGTGTCGCTATAGCCTTATCTTTTGCTCCAAGTGTATTTGCAGGTATTTGGTTCTTGTTGTTTTCTTTCTTCTAAACAAGGTTTTACAAACCTTTAAAAGTAAGCTTCCGGCTAAACAACTTGGGAATTCAGAAGTTTGTGTCTTTATCAGTCAGACATTTTCCTTTTACAGACAGGCATTTATGAATAAACATTACTGACCACAATAGGTTCATCGTTCTTTCGCTGTAATTAGACAAAACATGGGCAAAACGAGTGTCAGAAGGCGAGTTAAATCTTTAGAACTAACGAACATTTTATTACTGTCAGTGTGTATTATATATAATAATCGTATGATAACACTAAAAACGGTTTCAAACGCCTCCGTGAAGGCGGTAAAGAGACTCGGACCGGATCAAATTGGATCCTCACCGACCTAAATAGAATGGCAACGGATTCAAGAACATGGAGAACGAAATATAAATAATTTTTGCTATTCTTATCCAAATTCTTTACCTGCCTCACAAATATCCTGATAAGTTTCCATTACAGTCAATATTGGTTATCTCAAATAAAGATCTCTAGTTCTATAACACCTTTTTCTCATAAAATGATCAATTGTAATTTTTGTCGCTTTCTAAGGAGTTGACAGTTCAAAACGTGCAAAACAACACCGACGCTAAATTTTTAAATAGCTGTACCTATATCAGCATGAGAAAATTTCCACCGATATCCATGTGTTGCGTGGCCGACATGCAAGCCAAATCTAACATCAGTTGTCATTTATACTAGCTTATTGGTAAAAACTCTGCCTGAAAGAAAAAAAAGCAGTTCGAACAGTTTGTACCTGTGTACATGTCTTTCCAGGGCAACGATTTTCCCTATTTTTAGACAGTTCTGTACGGACGCTCATAACAGGCAGTTCGGTATTCGCTAATTTTGTTACTTTAGCATTACAGACTGTTCGTGCCAAAACCATAAAACTCCTTCATGCTTTGAAATTCCAGCTCAGTGTCGTTTCATGTTCTCTGTGAGATAATGAAAGAAAAACTAGCAACTGACGTGTAGTCTATGTATTCTAGCTGTATTCCTGCCACGTTATTACTCAGTTAGTCCATGTCGTCTATTCCAAAAAATTCCAGCTCATGTATTTCTTATACTGTAAGTGGCTAATCACTGACTTGTTGTTTTCTTTGTGAAGGTCGGTACATCATCGGAAAAGAAGAAGATGGTAGGTTTCACTCTAAATTGTATTGTGTTTCTCCATCGCACTATTGAATAAAAAAGAAGTCAGTATCCACTCTGTTTCCCAAGGTCTCCATACTGTGCAGCCTGTAAAACATTTTGCCTCGAAAATCTCAATGCCTCACCAACTAATTTTTGAAACTGGTACTCAAAATTTAGCAAAAGGTATACCAGCATGCAGAGGAATCAGTATTCAAAGGCTGGCAACAAGGAACGGCTTATGAGAAATAGACACCTTATTTGGGACTCAAAGAAAAGTAGACAAACAAAAAAGGCTTTGTACTTTTCCTAAAACGAGCACTCCACCATGAACTCTAGACTTTCAGAAAAGTCCTTCGCGGCCTAAAACCTCTCAGCTCGCTTCTCTCGCTTAGCTATTCTACCCTGAAACTCATGAGGTCGACTTGCGGCAAGTGAACTCTTTCCCTGTCTAAATATTACCAATTACAAGGTCACTTTTCCTTCTCTTATTTTACTGCTGGACTTTGTTCTTATGACTATTCCTTCAGTTTTTAAATTTGTTTTACAGAGACGTTGTTGAGTCTGAGCATTGCATTTCTGGTGATCTGTAGCTTGTTTCTGCTGGTCAGCATTGTGGCAACCTTGATGATGTTTAGACGCACACGTGTATCCTGGTATGTGTAAAATAGTTTGAAGTGTTTCCAAACGGAGGCAGAGTGGCCTAGTGGTTTAAGGTGCTCTATTTTTGATCTGGAGGTCTCAAGGTCAAATCCTCCACCCTGCCAGTAGATGGACTTGTGTTTGGTGGTCCCAGATTCAATTCCTCTACGCTTTGTAAATAGCCAGCTGGTCAGCCTCCCACCAGTTAGGATTTTTAACAAGTTTCTCTTCAATTAAAAATATATGTTTACTTGTTTCAGTGTCCCCAGTTAGTACAGTTGTGAGGCCCCATTAGGGGGGGTCTGAATATCCCGTATACCATTAATTTTTGTCCCAAATATCCCGTATCCCATTAATTGCTGTAGTTTGTATCCCTATAATTCAAGTTAATACTGATGACGTCACTGCATGTGATAAGTCTGATTACCAAATAATGTAAAACACATTTTCCGGTGCGGTTTCATACGTTAAAATAGAAATCGAGTGCAAATAGGGTTTGAAGGATGATTACAATGTTTTTTTTGGTGGAATGCTTTTACGCAGCATCCTGTTTAAGGTGGGAATTGTCTTCGAACTGAAGCAAGAACACAATTTTGTATTGTGTATCACTACAACTATTTCCCTTACCTGACAAGCTGGGTAGATGCACGGCGATCAAGTTTTTACGTCATGTACTTGTATTAATCTGTATTCTACTCAGAGGAGAATAATGGTGCAGTTGCTGGGGGTAAACTATGTTCAGTGTTGCTATTTAGTCATAGAATAAGAAAGCTGTTTCCTCTGGGCGCCTTGACTTTCTCCCAGATCTTGTGGTTGAAGCCCTAGCTCCTTGCTGAATTTGTCCCTCTTCCATTTCTGGAACCTCAATAGACAATTCTTCCGCAGTCTCCCTGGCAGTAAGTGGATCTCCATAATCCAAGCACTGAACCACATAATTGAAGTATTCCTCTTCATTGAATACAACGAGGTCGTCTTCGAGAGTAGGACTCGAGACTTCTGCTAAAATGCCAGTCATATCTATTGTGTAAAGCACTTGCGAATCACGAAAATGGAAGGGTAACAATAATTCTTTCGTGTAAATAGCAACTTCAAACTGCCTTTCCGAAGAAGATACGTTCTTTGTGCATCTACCCACGTAAAACGGGCTTGGAGTAGAAACGTTGACTGATAACCAGGCTTAATGATCACAAAGGATTGCTTCTTAAATAATGGAGGAACTGAAGAATCTGCCAGACTTTGTTGATTGGTTGTTTCTAAGTGGGCAAAGTCTACCGGTCGAGGCTGAGTTGGATTTTCAACATAACAGTTGATTGGTTGGGTGCCGGGGTTTTCCTTTGTT